AATAACCGATAACAGAAGAACAGAGACAGGAATCGATAACAGAAGAACTTACAACAACGAACAGAGAAGGACCGTTAACAGAACAACTGCGACAGGGACCGATAACAGAAGAACAGAACAGTGACCAATAACAGAAAAACCGACAACAGAGACAGGGACCGATAACAGAAAAACTGACAACAACCGAACATAGACGAGGACCAATAACAGAAGAACAGGACAGGGACCGATAACAAAGAACTGACATTAATACAACGAAGACAAGGACCGCTAACAGAAGAACAGAGACAGGGACCGATAACAGAAGAACAGACAATAACCGATAACAGAAGAACAGAGACAGGGACCGATAACAGAAGAACTGACCACAAACGAACAGAGACACCAGAACTGACAACAAGACAACGGAGACGAAGATTTATAACAGAAAAATAGAGACGAGGACCGATGACAGAAGAATTAACAACAGAAACGAGAACATCTGACAACAAAAGAACTGAGACCAGGACCGATTACAGAAGAATGAAGATCACCACCAATAACAGAAGAACGAAGACGACGACCGACGACCGAAATCAGCAAAATGAACAACAACAGCAAATAGTAATCAGAGAAAGGTGACTTTAATAGGAATCTGAGCAGCCACTCAATATGCTTGCATAGAGTACCAGATAAAATACATGAAAGCTCTATAAGCATAAATGCCTTAAAATTTTAAAGTACTATCTTTAATATTACTTGTATATTACTATTATATTGGCCTATAGAAAATGTCCGCCATCTTTTCGGCAATATTGGATTGTTTTGTTTTAATTCTGTTTTGGTTCCTAATTTGTTTTTACCTGAACATGCTTTGTGACAAATTTCAGGCTTTTCCATTCCTTAAAAGTTTTATTTGCTATATCATCCATTTAGGATAAAGAAATTTAGCGGCCATTTTAGTGGTCATTTTAAATGGCCATTTCAATGGTCAAGATCAAGTATTTCAATTTCATATCCGCCTTTAGCGGGTTCTGCAAACCTTAGATAGGTGAAATACACCAAGATACCACTTGTACTACAAAATGCCTCTAGCATTTTATAAGGGAGCCAAATTCTCAAAAACAGTCCTGTCTATAATTTTCCTGATAATAAGTCCTTAATATGGTGTTACAAACTGTATATGTCTTAATGTGTAAAGTTATTAGTAATTTTATTTATTTATCATTATTATACTTATACTAGTTCTATATACAAAGTGAAATTAAAGAATTCAGCATAAACACATTCATGCGTAACACAGTATATGGATAAATTTTGACGTTTTTGGTTATAATGAAATTCAGCGGAGTATATTAAGAAAACCATTATTAACGTTTCATTTACTTTGAATTAATGGTTAACCTCTATTTTCATGAAAAGTAAAGTTTATTAATCGAGACTTGCCTTGTTTCCCAATGTAATTTTCAAGCTAGCAACGTACGAAGATTTATTCAATATTTTCACCAGTGTTTTACAAAGGTTATGTAAAGAAAGTTTTACAGAAATAGCAATTCACTCATTTAAATCAAAACAAAAATAACGTTGCAATTTAGCGTCACTATTTTTGAAAGCATCGATTAAAATATTAGCGAAGATATTATTGCCATCGGCCAACAATCATAAAGTTTGAAACTATTATTACCTTTTTCTTAAAAAAAAATGATTCACATTTATTGGAATTTTTATGCTTTGCCTTTAAAAGGAAAGATAATTAACATTTCATCACACACATATAACCTGTCAAGACCGAAATATTCTGCATCTTAAAGATGAGGCAATGAACTTATATCTAGTCAATCCTTTTGTATTTTGTCACAAATCCAAAATGTTCAGTTCAGTTATACCTCCGTTAACCCAGATTTGATTTTGTTTTTGTATATCGTTGCTATTAACAATGTTTCCTGTCTATATATTTTGCTAGAAACGTTGTATAATGTTAAAAGTAAATAAACTTTATTGTATTGTATTGTATTGTATTGTATTGTATTGATAAATTTGATTAATGAATATATATGTCTGTATTAAAGAATATGCAAATTCCATTTAACATTTTTATGTAACTTTTTTATGATGATATATCTGTTATATAAACATATATATTTGATAACGTTTTATACAGTTTATCCTCAACACTATTATATCAATTTTTGTTGATTTGAAACAACGTTCTAGTATAATTACTGTCGCTCGTACTATATATAACGTCATTAAAATGTAACGAGACACTGTCTTCAATGTTTACTTTAATTCATTGAAAATTAGTATTGAAAATATACTGTTAATGCATTTCTATCAACGAATTATTACACTATGTATGTATAATTATGTACTATGTACATGTCAAAATAAAATAATGTTCTGTATTGTATTGTATTGTATATCCGACAACTTAGGATTTCTTTGCTTTCTTTAGACGTGTTTTACAACGAACGTATGGTATACATACATACAAACAAACAAACAAACAAACAAACAAACTTACAAAAAGATTTATACAGAGTGTCAGCTGTTTCTTTGAAGCAGCGGTGTGTTTACAGATATATATGGCTGTAAATTTGTACAAACGTTTTTTAAAACAATTTATAAACAGTTTAAAAACAATTGTTTAAGAGTGCAATGTAATTCATGCAGGAAAAGCTAAAACAGGTGGTGCCAAAATGAACTGATTTACCGATGCTATTCCGCATGTGTGCCTCGGAGGCGGAGCTACAGGGATAACATTCGTGCGATGCACAAGAGAACAGCTGTTAGTTTAGACGCTCGTTTTGTAATATCGTGGACATTTTTCATAGAAAAACATAGGATTAAAGAGAAAGTAGCCGTGAAAACAAACATATTTATTAAATAACCTTTTCTTTCCAGAAACAAAAATAATATGTAATAGATGGTGAACAGTTTTCATTTGTTTGCGTCGCCAGACCAAACAAATAATGATAACGAAATTTCGGACTCTAATGCTGTAAATTGCAAATGCCGAAAGTAGTCCGCTTTTTGAAGCGGTTACTTTCCTTTATATGTACATTAACGCCGAAAAATTCAGGGGAGATCACTGCGTAAAGATGTTCACATGACAGGCGCATTTATTTTCAAGCAAAATAATTCCCGAATGGTCGAAGATTTTTAATATTGTTTTATTTTATATAGATATACATGCTTATAGTAAGTTCCATGATTATTTACATCTGTGTTAGCGTCGTTACAAACCCTAATTTGGAATAATATGGTTTTCTTCAGGCCATTAACATATAAATTCACCGTTCCCGAGGGGTTTGCACGCTCGCTTAGGAAGCGAGAGGTCTGGAGTTTAAATCCCAGTTAACGCAATTCATTTTTTTCAAATTGTTTAAGTCAAATAAACATTGGATGGAATATCAGTGTTGCAATTAGGCTTATAGCCAATTTACTACAATTAAAACGCTTAAAAGCATTGGTGGCACTATACAAAAAACAAATTGGTTTATAATCTCACAACCAGCACCTTTCTTACATTCTGAGACTCGAACCAATTCAGCGCCTTCTGTGCTTTGATTTTTACTTGTGACATTTAAAATTAAACATCACCTGCGGAATTTAGCTTGAATGCCCATGTGCAATAACTGAGACCCCATTTCAGGTAAATCAGTACATTGAACAATATATTTTCAGACGACATGGAAAAGGTTGGGAAGTTCAATTTTTTGATAAAATTAGCATTACTTACTGGTTCTGAATTATATTCACAATAAAAAGGGCCGGAAAGCTGCTATGATATTTTAAATAAAAATAAGAAAAGGTGTTACATCCAGGCTTATATTCCAATTAATAATTAAAGTAAAAGAGCAACATTGACTGGACAGGTACCTAACTTTGTTCTAACAAATTACTCGTCCGTAGATTTGATTTGTTTAAGCAGTAAACACAATCCTTCGTCATGAATGCGAATTCCAATGTCCTTATAAACATCATAACTATCAACATTAAACATAATTCTTGACCATCACAGCTAAGTGAGATTCTACTTCGCATAAGATCAGACGTCGCCGATATTGACAGACATGATTTTTGTGTTTAGGGGTGTCAATCAATATCGCGTGACGAAAGAGGGCGGAGACATCTTGAGGGTGTACAAAAATAATTTAAAACACTAAGCCGGTTAAAATCAACAAATATCTAAATACACTATATATGCGTCACTGCCCTAGTGATTAACGTATTTGACTTTAAACAGTTTGCCCCTCACCGCTGTGGGTTCGAATTCTGCCAGCACACATTCATGTGAGTAAGCTGTCCAGGTCGCATATGTAAAGCCGCTGATTCTATCGACGCGGTTGTCCGATCGTGCCTGTAATAATGCAAGGACGGTCACATGAGGTCTTTTTTTTACATGTTAGGCCAGAAAATCACCAAATGACCTTTAATGTGTCGGTCTAACGTAAAAACGAAACAAACAATAGGTGTATAGTCATTGTATTGGTGCATTTTAGTAATTCATTATCCCCGTATAAAGTGCAACCCCCAGGCTTTCTGTTGTCAAGTATAAACAATATAGTGTATGCAGATTTAGCTATAAATATTAACCACTGCTGGAAACGACAGGTACACAGCTGTTTCCAAGCAAGCAAATAACATTCAAAACATTATTTTGTATTCTACACATCTAAAAAGACAAAAAAAAAGAAAGGATTTGTGTGTTATTCTTAGCCTGATTGTGAGTGTAAAGCGTTGCAATGTTTTCCTTTTTTCAAACGCACAAATATTTCACTTTTTAGCAGTCTGATCAGGATCCATGCTGTTCGCATACAAACCATAAAACAAGTAGAGAAACTGATAGCGAACAGCATGGATCCTGATCAGACTGTGCGGATACGCAGGCTGGTCTGGATCCATGCTGGTCGCAAACCCACCATGTTGGTTTTGTCGTGACGCGGCTCAAATGTTAATTGCTTTGGACATTGGAATTGCTGTTTAAATCCTTTCGTTATTGATGATGTTATTTTGTCCCGGACACGTTATAAATCACTTCACTATTGTTGATTTCAACAAAGTAACAGATGTACACTGAGTAAATATAAGTATACTTCAGGCTATATAAACACGGAATATATTCATACTGCTGCATTCAACATACACGTCAGTTTCCGGACTCGGACCTGTGCTTTTGGTTTTGAAGTAAGTTTGCGTTTTATAACATTTTTAATCATTTATATTATAGATTCTACATGTATTTATATTATAATCTTAAAAATTTTTGCATACTGAACAGTAATCGTATGTTCCTATTTTATGATATACTTATAAATGAAATATTGAAAAAATATTGATAAAATAAAATGCGTATATTCATTTTCGGTATTTTCACTGTAAAAATTTATTTTTTCACTGGTGTCTGGCCGGACTAATCTCTTGTTTATTCAGTCAATACACAAAATTAAAGTATAAGTCTTAAGAATTATAAGGTCAAAACAGAGAAAAAGTACATAATAAACAGAAAATTCAAGTTTTTTCTTTAAATACAGGTGATATGAATATTATCATATTTCACTTGTTGCTACCGCCACTAACTAACTATTTTTAATTTCATACCATTCGATGAAAATAAGTTCTGTATTTATTTATAAAAAACTTAAATATAATCTATTTAATCTTATTTTGTTGTTCTTTTTTTCACATTTTCAAAATTTATATTTTATTTGACTTCAAATTTCAAATAAAAATCACGCAAGTGCTGTTATTATTATTATTATACACAATTAGTGTATTAATGAAATACAATATATCGTTAAAGTAAACATTCTATTGGTTGTATCTAGAATAAATATTTTTTGACGAAATAACGTGCACGAATTTTAAAATACTAATACTTTTTTAATCTTTGAAAAGCTAAATTATACATTCTTAATAAATTGGAACGAAAAGTTATTATGTCATTATTTTGCATTTTAATTACAGAAAAGAAAAAGAAAACATGTCGAAACATCAACTTCTCGGGGCATTATTTCTTGTAGCACTAACAGTTGAAGTGACACACGGCTGCATGTGCATGGGGACATTGGAGGAACGAGTTGAAAGTGCTGATTTTGGTGCGATTTATTATTTATTTATTTATTTATTTATTTATTTATTTATTTATTTATTTATTTATTTATTTATTTATTTATTTATTTATTTATTTATTTAAATCAAAGCTTCTTCGGGTGATAGCATGCATTATTTGCTACCTGTACCATTTCAGCTCGAAATTCCCCTTGAAAAATAGGTTGAAATCTTTTAAAGCAGCATGCCTCCAGATTCAAGCTAATTTTCGTAAAATTTAAAAATGTGTTTCAAAGTAAAATATTGTGAAATGAACAAAGAAAATAATTTTCACATTGCAAACAGCACTAGCAATCCACGTAAATTACCAAAAGGTAGTAAAAATAAGCAAACATAGCCCTTACTGCGTTAGTAACGCAGTAGAAATATGGTGATTAATACTGCAAATTCTGTCCTTCATCGCTCATAACATGTATTACTTAAATTTTGAATCTTTATTACCTTTCTTAAATTTTAGTACATTTTTCTCAGGTCTAATTCCCTTCAAACAGTTTGGCTAATATGGAGGCACGCAGCTTTAAGTAAGTGACTTTTATTCAGTCACTTACATAAATAGTAATATATTTGAAAAATAGAAAGAATTGAAAAGAAATGACACTACTTAAGCTAGCTAAATGTTATCGCTTCCTCATTAGAGCAAACATTTGGTAGAGTTTCTGTTTCTGTAATATGTTATAGACTGTTTTGAGTGAATTATCTAAATATTTTGCATGGTTTTGAAATAAGAGCAAAGACATTTGTAAAACGAATCATCTAATTTGAAGCTCCACTACCTCGTTTTTGAATCGCTTGACCTTAAAAAGTTATGCTTCTTTAATTGAGTTTTCACCTAACAATTAAAGGTAACTTAATACGATACGGTATAAAGATCAACACAGGGGGCTTAGGTACTCTTTTTGTGCCACCGTTATTTTTTCTTCTTTCTATTTTTACAGCTGCGCTCGCTAAAGTAACATCAGATGTGATTTCGTCACCAAAAGGACTTTATTACGAAATTGACAATAAATGTGTCCTGAAGGTTTGTAACAATTATGAAAATATTAATAATTATTACTATAAAAGATCGGTGGAGACATTTCAACTTCATGAATTCCCGATTTCATCTTCGTGAATTCAAAATTTTAACTTCGTGAATTCACGTTTTCAATATACTGAATTCATGATTTCAACTTATTGAGTTTACGATTCCAACTTCACCAATTCAACTTCGCAAATTCACGTGTTGAAATTCACGATTTCAGATTCGTGAATTCACGATTTCAACATCCCGAATTCACAATTTCAACTTCACGAATTCACTTCAAGTTCATGGATTCATAACGTTGAAAACGTGAATTTATGCAGTTGAATACGTGAATTAGTGAATTCCGCATGTTGAAAAACGTGAATTCAAGAAGTTAAAATTGTGAATTGGTAAAGAGGTTTTTCGAATATAACTGTTACTGTTCTTTTTTATAACTTAGTAATTTTACAAAGAAAGCTTAGTGTGTGTGTGTCTATCTTTGAGATCATTGTTACTCATGAAATGTGGTGTATTCAACACGGATTTTAACGAAATAAAAACAGAGGTAACTGTGATACGTTTGTGGTACGACACGGACCGGTCTAAAGTTCCAGTTGTTTTTTTGTTTGTTTGTTTTTTGTTTGTTTTTGATTTTTTTAAAGAGAGGCAAATGCGTAGAAATTTCGAGAAATATAATGAACAGGGAAGGGAGGCAAATACGCTTTTACTGAATGCGTAGAAATTTCGAGAAGTATAATGAACAGGGAAGGGAGACAAATACGCTTTATTCCCCTTTAAAAATCGTCTAAAACATCAGGTGCGGTTTCAGAAATCGGGGACTGTTGCATCTTACTAGTTTTCGAGAGAGGTAGGGTGGGGATTATGAGTCAAATTTTTGCATTTGTTCTCTTTTAATAGGGCGCTTTAAAAATGAAGGAACAAATTTAAAAATACGCCAATAATTACGTTGGCATTTCAGACGCCGTACGGGACGGATGTAGGAAGGGCGTATGCGACAGATCGACTGAGGCCCGATGGTGTGAGGACATCCTGTGATGGGTCGAACTTGGAAAAAGACAAAGTTTATTTGATAATAGGTAAGCGAAACACGGTTTGTCTCGAAGCATGTCGGTATGTTAACACTTTGATCAATTTTAAAGCGACTTGCCTTTAGGTGAGTGTGCTATTTCATTGGGAGAATTTAAAAAAAAATGTTAACCTTTTTTTTTTAAAAGTTTATAAGTAATCAATTGTGGACTTGACATTTGCAAGGCACAAGGAAAACACTTAGCAAAATATTGCACTTTTTTAAATAGCCCTAACTCCGCACGTCATAGGAAATAAACTTGGTGAGAAAATAGTCAACTTTCGATCTATTAATTGTGAATATTTGATAGAATTTTGTCTAAATCAGAAGCATTTTATTTCTTATTTTTGATTTTTTTCTTCCCTTTTTTTCTTTTTTTTTTATTCAAACCATTATTATCATACTTATATCTATTCCGCCCATTGGATTTTCGAAATGGAATAATCCTGCTGTGAGTTTAGAACTTTCCATTGTTAGTTTTTGGGAGTGCCTGCTGAAATTTACAGTAGATTAGCAGACGACATTTCACCTGGAAAAAATACCTCGTTATTGATGTCAAAAGTGTTTAGATAATATATATCATTGTTTGATATTACTTTTTTGAAAATTTTAAATGTTTAGCTAAAAATCCACTTTAATAATAATAATTAGGGAAAGATAGAAATAGAAAATATTCAAGTTTCTTCTATAAATACAGGATTTATTTTCATCGAGTGGCATGAAAACAAATATTTCACGAGTTGCAGAAGCCACGAGTGAAATATGATAATTTTCATACCACAAGATGACAATAAATCCGGTAATTATAGAAAAAAAACTTGAATTTTCTGTTTATTATATACTTTTTCTCTTTCTTAACCTAATGAATAGGAAGAATTCCCTTTTAATTTTGTGTATTGGCTGAATTTAGAAGAAAGTAGTCCGGCAAGACATCAGTGAAAAATACGGAAAATATGGTATTTCTGCAGTGAAAAATATTTTTTTTACAGTGAAAATACGGAAAATAAAATACGTATTTCATTTCATCAATACTTTTCAATATTTTATTTATAAGTATATAATAAATGTTTTATTTTCACCTGTAATTGATAAGGCTACATGTTCGGTTATATATCTTTTATTTTTTTCAAACAGGTCGCTTATATAACAGGGCCAATCCAGATACCGACTCTGTGCTGTATTCGGGGTGTGGCGGCTTTGTTGTAGAATGGGACACCGTGAACTCGGACTTCAAGAATGATTTGAAAGAGATGCTATCTTTTGATAACTGTTAAAGTGCAAAATATAACATATTTAACACATTCTTTCTATCTCATTTGTAAGCCCCTATTTTTGCATGTTGTGAGGCTTTATAAATAAAATATAACTAAGAAACATACAGGAAATACATTGAAAATCGTATGTTTGTGCTATTCTCTGTCCGATTCGAGTGAAAAGCGTTTTAACGCTTTTCAATTATGGGCCATTTTTCACTATTATAATTATTATTTTGGAAAAACGGAACACGCTAATGATCTGGAATTTTGCACATAAGTTATTAGCACAGATCTACATCAAATAGAGTAATAATCTCAAAAAAATATTTCCAGTCCCGTCATGTCAAAAAACCTCAGTGGACTCCCTTTAAAGTATTAAACATTTAATGTGTCATTAATATATTCATTTATTTGAAATTTTGAAAATCTGTTTAAAGAGTTCTAGCTTGTGACAGTTATATAAAATGTTTTATCTTCAAACTTTAATCTGTCTGATACAATGTAATATTATTTGTACTGTTTTGCTATCATCTTAGCTTCATACCATTTATATGATATGAGCCGTGTCATGACAAAACCAACATAATGGGTTTGCGACCAGCAAGATCCAGACCAGCCTGCGCATCCGCGCAGTCTGATCAGGATCCATGCTGTTCGCTATCAGTTTCTCTACTTGTTATAGAGTATGTAAGCGAACAGCATGGATCCTGATCAGACTGCGTGGATGCGCAGGCTGGTCTGGATCCATGCTGGTCGCAAACCCATTATGTTGGTTTTGTCGTGACGCGGCTCATATATAATTTACTTGGATTAGAATATGCTAATAAGAACAAATAGGAGGCTTGTTTCAATTACCGTTTGCTTTAGAAATGCAATAGTATAACATAATTATTAACTGTTTAACGGATAACGTATGCAGCAGTCTTATAAAATTAGTTTATTACATGCTTTTCGGTGGTTTATAGATATATATCGGTGAAATAAAAACTGGTAATTTCACTGTTTGAAACAGTGAAATTATCAATTTGATAATTTCACTGTTTTGAATATTTGAGCCCGTTGCGTTGTTTCAATGAAATACAAGCGTTCACGGTACTGGAAACCAACTTAATTACGTGACGTCGTAAATGACGTCACGTTGTATTATTATTTGGCGCCCTTTTCATTTAGTACTAGGTTAAAATGTCTTTTTAAACGTTTTTTTGCATATAATAAAAAGAAAATTTGTCTAGTTTAATGTAAGATCGAAATATATTTCACCTCGTGAACACCAAAAGTTCATATTTCACTCGTGGCTGCGCCACTCGTGAAATATACCTTTTGGTGTTTAGTGAAACATTCAAATTACAAAAATAAACTGGATATTGTTAAGTTGATTTAACTAAAAATATTTTGATATTATGCCTCGATCTGTCTTTCTACGTTGTCTGTCTATAAAAATAGTTCAGTCAGTTGTGTCATTAATAGCAGCATATATGAGGCTTCTCAAAGAATACATTAACTCTTACTGTACGAATATATAGGGTATTTGTGGTCTTACTTTGTTTTACCCTTAAATAAATTTCTGCAAAATTAAACAAGTGGTGAGCATAGGTTGATAGGGTGGTTTATCTGTACATATGTCTGAACGCCTCTTACGTACATCTTTATTCTTGTCCGAGAAATGGCTTGGAAAGAAATAAGCCAAGCCGTGGTAAAGGTCCGAGGATGACATTTTTAAATCTTGAAGTTAAATGTAATTAAAGATACAAAAATACCCCTTGGTATGACAATTTTAATTTTGATTTATATCATCTTCATTTGATATAAATGACTTATATCTACTTGTTTTTAAGGCAACATAAGATAATTTGGGTTATGTTTGGTATTTCTAGTTAACTTTCAGTATTTTGATACATATATTTAAATGTGCATTCTTCTCTTCTTTTTTGTTTTACCTAAACCACTATACTTTAAGAAATACAAAAACTACTTGAGAACAAGAAAATGCCTACAAATGAGAATTAGTGCATAAAACATATAAACACTCAAAACACATGTATGCATGCATACATGTTGAACAACAAGTGTCTCGAAAGAGTATGATCAGGAAATATTATTTGAAGTTGAAAATTACGTAACAAAATATACCTTAATTTCCGAAAAAAAAGTTTATATCATTTTCATTGCTTAAGATAAATAATTTATTTCTTTATTATGTCAACTTAAGAGAATTTAAGTATATTTAGATATTTCAGGTAGCTTTCAGTAATTCGATACACATAACTTTATGTGCATATTTTTTATTTTACTCCCTGCACCGTAATATAATGGTAAAAAAAAACAACTTGAAAACATTAAAAATGCATGAAAATAGAGAATAATTGTATTAACTCACATATTAAGTAAAATAAAAAAGCAGAGAAATGAAATTTACATATTTCGGCGAATTTTGTTTTTTTTGTGAAATTACCCCACCACTTTAACCAAGTATAAAACTTACAAATTATGCAATTTCTTGCGTTTTTTATGATAAATACTTAAACGCACACAGTATTTATGAAAAACAAATCAATATTAGAATTTAAGTAGCTACTTGAAATATTTTTTGTTATTTCTAGGTAGCCATAATAGAAAAGTCTGCAAAAAATAGGTTTTTTTCTTTGATATTTTGAAAATTTTCAGACAAAACCCTGAAATGTTATAATTTCATTGTTATTCAATCATAACTTGATTATTTCTTAAATGTGTGCACACCTTTTTACCACAACACGTCATAATCTTTGCTGTAAAATTTACCATAATAAGATATATACCCGTTTTGCATGAAATTGGCGGCCATATTGGACGCCATCTTGGATTCTGAAGCGTTGTGAAAGCAAAATTTTGTTAGATTTGGATTTTTGTAGGAGAGACTATATATTTACTCTGGTGTAAGTTTCAGATTTGGACAAAAAATTTGATTAAATTGCCATTGGCTCTTAGGCTACTTTGTGTTTGTCCGTGTTCTCAACATAGGATTAAAGAGAAAGTAGCAGTGAAAACAAACATATTTATTACATGCTTTTCGGTGGTTTATAGAAATATATCAGTGATATAAAACTGGTAATTTCACTGTTTGAAACAGTGAAATTACCACTTTGATAATTTCACTGTTTTGAATTTAAGCCCCTTACGTTGTTTCAGTGAAATACCAGCGTGCAAAGTACTGTGTACCAACTTAATGACGTGACGTCGTAAATGACGTCACGTTGTATTATTATTTGGCGCGCTTTTCATTCAGTTTTAGGTTTAATGTCTTTTTAAAACGTTTCTTTGCATATAATAAAAAGAAAATTTGTTTAGTTTAGTGTAAGATCGAAATATATTTCACCTTGTGAACACCAGAAACTCATATTTCACTTGTGGCTGCGCCACTCGTGAAATATACCTTTTGGTGCTCACTCGTCGAAATATATTCCGATCTTACACTGCACTAAACAAATATCCTCTATTTATTAAATTACCTTTTCTTTCCAGAAACAAAAATAATATTTAATAGATGGTGAACAGTTTTTTTACTTGTGACATTTAAAATTAAACATCACCTGGGGAATTCTAGCTTGAATGCCCATGTGCAATAACTAAGACCCCATTTCAGGTAAATCAATACTTTGAACACGACATGGAAAAGGTCGGGAAGTCCCATTTTTTTTATAAAATTAGCATTACTTACTGGTACCGAATTATATTCACAATAAAAAGGGCCGAAAAGCTGCTATGAGATTTTTAATAAAAATAAGAAAAGGTGTTACATCCAGGCTTATATTCCAATTGATAATTAAAGTAAAAGAGCAACATTGACTGGACAGGTACCTAACTTTGTTCTAACAAATAACTCGTCCGTAGATTTGATTTGTTTAAGCAGTAAATACAATCCTTCATCATGAATGCGAATTCCAATGTCCTTATAAACATCATAACTATAAACATTAAACATAATCCTTGACCATCACAGATAAGTGAGATTCTACTAAGGCGGTAAAAGATCAGACGTCGCCGATATCACACCGTACAATCAAATAGGCAGACAGCTGTTCCAGCGTCGACAGCTGAACCATTATATACATGTCGGCACGGGGAATACAATTGACGTACGATAAGTATTCATCTATTTTTAACATATCCAAACTCTGTTCGAGTAAATCGATGTTATGGATTCATAGTGAACACCCAAAGGAGCATGCTAACACATTTCTGGCCCTGTGCAAGCTTTACTTCACGTGAATTTTGACTGAAAATAACCACACTATCCGATTAGATGCGGTATTTTTAGTTTAAGGTCACAAAAACTTATATTTTCTCATGATAATAAATCCTTTTTTCATACGATTCGTAAACGTCAACATTTCGTCATTAAATATTCCAAACCATACCTTCAAAAAAGCTTTTCTGTTTAAGTTATAAGGTATTTAAGTTTGAGTGTCATCAAAATTTTAGTAACGTCAACAGCTGTTCGCCTCTTTTTATTGATAACATCGACAGCAATTCATCGGCAAGAATGAATAACGCTGAAAGCCGTTCAAAGAAACAATTTTCAGCGCTTTTGTGCTACAGTAAATAGGAAAGAGTAAAACTTTTTTGTTCATTTAAAATATTACTTTATTCATGATACTTTCTAATTATATCATTTTTATTATTACAGTATAATACTTTCTATTATTTGTTGTTTCTTAACTGAGAGACCTTTATCTCCATTTACCACACTGTATTTCAATATAAAAAGGTAGCAAGATCTATTAAAGGGACTCCACTAAGGTTTTTTGACATGACGGGACTGGAAATATTTTTTAAGATTATTTCTCCATTTGATGTAGATCTATACTAATAACTTATGTGCAAAATTTCCGATCATTAGCTTGCTCCTTTTTTCAGAATAATTATTATAATAGTGAAAAATGACACAAAATTGAAAAGAGTTTAAACGCTTTTCACTCAAATCGGACTGAGAATAGCACAAACATATGATTTTCAATGTATTTCTTCTATATTTCTTGGTTATATTTTATTAATATTTATGTTTAATT